TGCAGAGAAACTGGATCCCTCACACATTGCTGGTAGGAATGTAAAATAGTTCAGTTACCTTGGAAAACAGTCTAGTAGTTCCTCAGAATGCTAAACATAGAGTTATCATAGGATTTAGCAATTCCACTCCTTGGTATATAACGAAGAGAACTGAAACACACGTCTACAAGAAACTTGCACACAAATGCTCATAGCAAATAATTGATAATGGCCCCAAAGTGGGAATAATCTAAATGTCCCTCAACTGATGAACGGATCAACAAAATTGGTATATCTACACAGTGGAATATTACTCAGCAATAAAAAGGAGTGAAGAACTGATACATGATAATGTACCTGGTGGGTACATCAAGGGCAAGGAGGAACCTTGAAAACATGCTAAATGAAAGAAGCCACACACAAATGGCCAATATTGTAAGATTCCTTTGAAATGAAATGTCTAGACTAGGCAATCTATAGAGACAGAAGATAGTTTAGTAACGTCATGGGGTAAGGGAAGAGGGCAATGAGAAGTGATTGCTGCTGGATATTATGTTTTTTGGGGGGTTATGAAAATATTCTGGGATTAGACACTGGTGATGGTCATACAACTTTGTGAATCATTGAAAACCACTGAACTGTTCATTTTAACAGAGTGAATTTTATGGTATATGAATTATATCTCAATTAAGAAAAGAATCTGTGTGAGAATACAGAATAAAGAATACAGAATAAAGAATCTGTTTGAATACAGAATTCAAACATTACAGAAATACATAGAAATTAACCTTTCCCTGTATTCCCTCTTGCCAACTTTGCCTCCCATTTTGTCTTATTCTCTATACTGCTTTTATTATTTATGTTTCTTTACAAAGTAAACTGGGACCTTGTTATATATACTGTTTATGTTACCTTTTTCACTTAATATGACCTGTCCATTTTTTCATCATTGGAAGAAAAAAATTCCCAAGTTGGGGACTTCCCTGGCAGTCTAGTGGTTAGGACTTCATGCTTCCACTGCAGAGGGCACGGGTTTGATCCCTGGTTGGGCAACTAAGATCCCGCATGCCGTGCTGTGCAGCCAAAAATAAATAAATAAATAAAAATTCCCAAGTTGACTTTTTAAGTAAAATAGCAAACCCAGAAGTCATAAAGAAAAAGATTGATAATTCGATTACATAAAACTTAAATTTTTTTTAAATGGAAAAAGACACTATAAAAAGCAGACAAGGAGAAGATATAGGATTAATATAAGAAAGGATTAATATTCCTATATTAAGGATTAAGGATCCTGTAAACTGACTAAAGTCAAACAACATACCCAAAAAGTGGACAGATGGCAAGTCCAGGAAAGGAAATACAAAATGGCGAATACACACAAGAAAGTTATCACCTTCACGAGAAGTCGTGTTTTGCCCATCAGATTGGCAAAAACCAAAAGGACTGGTGACCACTCCTACTGGCAAGAACAGGGGGCAATGGACACTCATAAGTTGCTGAAGGATATGTGAATTGCTATAACCTTTTGGGAAAGTAGGTTAGGTAGTATTCAACAAATGAGTATAACCTTTAACCCATTTATGGGACTCTAACCCACAAAAATAAAAGCACCACCACTAAACATGTTCACAAGAATGTTTATTGCACCAATGTTTGTAAGAGGGAAAAAACTGGAAACCGGAGTGTCTGTTGATAGGTGATTTATGAGTCAATTGTGATTTATGGGAACCAGGGATATTAAAGAAGCATGTGTCAACCCTACACGATTGACCTAGAGGCACGTACACAGTAGACAGCTATGTGCAAAAAGCAAGTTGCTTAGTAATTACATGGCAAATGGTATTAAAATAAAAGCCAAACCCCTGGAGATGCAAATGTGTGTTTGTATATTGCTGTAGGCACAGAGAAAGCCTGCTAAATTTGGTATGTTAGGGGCTGGGTATGCTGTGATTGATTATTTTTAAAAAGGAACTTAAAAAAGCTGATTGTTGATAAAGGACAATATTGTGCTTATTTAAACTTTCCTCAAAGCTGGGGAATAGTTAGGATGAGAAGTCAATGCTGGCGAGATAGGAGAGTTAAGAGGGTGTAACTAGAAATCAGAATATAAGGTAGGTTAACACTTTTCTTTTGATCTAACATTTTGGGTCTTTACAGAGGAAGGGAGACTGGGAGGAAGCCAGGACCCGTCAGTCTGAAGTACTGAACAGGTGGCTGGCTGGAGGTGGAAACTCTTCTTTTTTGAATTTTATTTATATTTTGGCCATGCCGCACGGCATGCGGGATCTTAGTTCCCTGACCAGGGATCGAACCCGAGCCCCCTGCAGTGGAAGCGCAGAATCTTAACCACTGGACCGCCAGGGAAGTCCCCTGGAAACTCTTTTTTTGGTTTCTGGCTCTGGCATCTCTTTGGGGTTCACTTGGAAGAGAAGTCACCTGGAACCTTACACAAGAGCAGATCGGGGAAGAATCAGCCCAGGAGATGTTGGCTTCTGGATCAGTTATGATTCACTTTGTGAAGGGTTTGCCTTCAGTGTTATTACTGGAGACCACACTTCCACTGGGTCAAAGAAACTCCCCAAAGCAAAGTATTAACTCAAAGAGGAACAGTCATGCTAAGTCCCTGAGACAGTTCTTGCAAAACCTAATCTCTACTTTAGGAAAACTAAAAGGTCAAATTGGGAAAAAACCTTAGCTTCACTATAACAATCCTACCCAAAATGTACTACCGAGAGGGGCTAAATGTGATTCCCGAAATGACACAGAAATTTGGAAAATGTCTCTTCTTTCGAGACTGTTTAGAAATGCAAAGAACAGATCTATTTTTTAAAAGTGAAAATAAAAATATTTTTGAAAACAGCGGTATTTTTTGAGGGGAGACTAGTCCTGTTCATGACTATTTTATAGGTTGAATGGTTCTTCCTGTTCTTTTTTTTCCCTCCCCACCCACCCCAACCAGGGATCGAACCTGCGCCCCCTGCCGTGGACGCGCAGAGCCCTAAACACTGGACCGCCAAGGAAGCCCCGATTTTTCCTTTTCATCGATTCATTTAAAACTGAAAAGGTCTAAGGTAGACAAGTGATAAGGCCCGAACACAGGAAAGACACATGTGCTCTTGTTGGCAGCATTTAGTTCCAAGAGGTGACTTTAAGTTCTCTTTGGGGACATTAGAGAGACAAAAGGAGATTTATCTGAAACTGACAGGTCCTTAAACATGCAAATGTCATAAACGCACACTCCCTTTAGTTAATGGTGAGGCTCCTCTTAAGGGAGAGATATAAAGAAAACAAAGACTCAAAGGCATTTATCCTTTTCTGGAGACATCCTTGGCAAGGGAAATCGTTATGCCGATGGACCCAGCGACTGGGCTTCTGCATCAGGGGTGCCTATGAGTAATTTCAGGGAAAAAAGAAAACCTCCTAAATGTTGTGATCAGACGGAAAGAAATGAGTGAGGAAAGAGAACGCACAGCCTTTCACTGTTCTCACGAAACCTCAATCCTCTCAGGTCAGGGACACAGATGTGATGACATAGATGTGAGTCTGGCTCGGGGCACTGAGCCCAACCCTCCATCCCAAACCTGAGGGGATACAGTGTATTCAAATAGCAATAGTTTCCCATTCAAATTTCCTTTTTAATGACTTTTAGCTAAATTAAATCCTTTCAGTATGTTTCTTATTCCATCTTTGCCAGGCAGTAACAGAAGAGCGGGGACCGGGCTAGCCAGAAAACGAGGAAGTGACCACAGGGCACTTCTGTAGTTGGCACAGGAAGTTTTGGAATCTATTTTCAAAACATGCCCGATCTAAAATCTTCATGTGCTTCTCGCCAACCTCGCAGAGGCTGAATAAACCGCACGTGGCTCTGTGAAAACCCACCTCACCCTGGGTGGCACTTCTGCTGTCTGGTTGGGTTAACATCCCTGCTTCACTAGAGGCTAATAACCAGGGAGTGCAGATGCGGGTGGAGGGCACTGGCATGATGAGGGCCACGCTTCATTTCCTCCTGTGTTTTTCGGAGAAGCAGCCCTCGGGAGGGACTTCTCACTGGGCTCGCTCTGTCCTGCTCCGGAGGCAGGTCTGAGACACAGGTGGCAGTCTCGGGTTGGTTCCTTGTCGATCAGCAAGACTATGCCAGTGACAGACACCCTCAGATCTCTCCGGGGGCCTCTCATGATACAGGGGAAGGGGGGACATCTGAGGGCGTCTATTCTTTCTCTCCTTGGCCACGTGAGTCTTCCTCACGATGTGGCTGGCGTTGCTCCTGCTTCCTCTCCCAGCATTGGGAAGACGTAGATGGAGCCTTTGGGAATTTTTATCTAGAAAGTACTTTGCTTTCAGGGTGGACAGAAACCGCTACTCAACCCCACTGTTCCTAAAAATGACTCTCACCATCTGTGGGGAGCTTGGGAAATGACACATTATACAGCTATGAGTGACTGACAAGGGTGCTTCTTCAGTGACACTGGGACTGGGACAGATGATGAGCTGTCCATCACCTGCTTCGAAATGAATGGACAAGGGATGGCTCCAGAGTCCCATCTGACAAGGAAACTTAAAGGTGCCGGGAAAGCACCTGTTTAGTGTGGATCTCTCTAGTTTCAACCAGTCAGTTTTGAAAGCGATTCTATATTTTCCTTCACACTGAAGAGGCCAGGGGCAAGGATGAGGGTGAGGGGTATGGCATCCTTTCAAAGCAGACGGACGGGAAGGAGAGGGGGGCGGGGGTCGGGAGCGCCTGCGCACGCTTTCAGGCATTAGACTGACTGTTTTCACTAGGCACTTTGCCTCTGCTTGTTGAGTACTGAAATCTCGATCAAATTTCAAGTGCTTTCTAGGACAAAATGGTTAATTTGGAATCGCCTGGAAGCCTCCTGCCTCTGCGGATGAGGGAGACAGTCCCTTTACTGTAACCTTTAATCTTGACAAACAAGAACAACCTGGCAGTGGTGGGGGGCAGGGAGAGTCCAGATAAAGGACTGAGGGTGGATCACATGCTTGAATTTAGTCGGGTTCCCTACCTCCTGGCCCCTGTCCTGCACAGGACACGACTCACTGTCTGCTTCGGAGAACGATCCGGATTCGTCGCTGGAGTTGGTGCCGTAAGACTGCTCACATTTAATCTGGGGTCGGACTTGGTTGTACATTCCATCTCCCATCAGGCCTGGTTCCTGATGTTCTGTGGCCAGGAATCTGGCTCCCTGGGAACAGGGCGAGGAGGAGAACTCGCAGAGAGGCAGGCTGCAGGGTGAGCCCCCGCTCCCGTCCTCGGCGTACGAGTAGGAGGAACACGAACTCGAAGTCCGAGTCCTGGCCTCCAACGGGGGCGAGCGAGGGCAGACTTTGATTGGCACCGGGCAGCTGGTGTTGGGCCGCATCCTTCCTGGCAAGTGTTCGGCCATCAGCCCACCGTGAGGGTAGGCCTGTGAGCTGGGGAGGGACTGGCCAGTCCCCACCCACAGGCCCTTTGGCACCGGCTCGGAGAGGTCTTTGTCCAAACCGCTTACCCCAGAGTACGAGTGCGCCGCGGTGCTCACTTGGTCACAAGCGCTGGAGGAGAAGATCACACTTCTCCGGTCCAGCTCTCCTTCCTGTTTACAGAGCGCCTCCAACCCAGGCCCCTTGAGGGGCGACCCCACTGTGAAGCTGGACGCGTCCTTCTGGCCCATGTGGGGCTGTCCGTAATTCCCTGGGAAAGGGGCATAGTCACTTTTAAGGTCACCCTGAGTGATCCCCTTGTCAAAAGGGCACGCGGAACTCCTGGCAAAGTGCTGCTGAGAGGTACCGGGCAGGCCGGACAACTCCACACTTTTTGTTAGGCTGAACAGAGACCTTAAGCAGGAGGGGGAGGACGCGCCCCTGGACCTCTCCAGGCAGGCGGCCCCGGCAGGGGGGGCGGGGGCGGGCGCGGGGGCGGGGCGGGGCTGTTTCCGGTCCATTTCCACGTCCCCGGCTCTGTCTCTGACGTCAGGCTCATCTCCAGACAGGCAGAGCGTGATGCTCTCTTCTTCGTTCTCTTCGCTGGGCGGCTCGCTTTTAATCTGCCCCATGGCAAGCCCCGGCTTGAGGCTGTTGCCAGAGTTCTCTTCACCGAATGTGCTTGCAAAACCTGAGGTACTGTGTGATGATGCGTTATAGACATTCTTGGTACATGCAAGCTGGTATTTCTTGTATCTGGGGTACTGCGTTAATGCGTCCTTTGCCGCGCTCTCCTTGGTGTCCGCGGGCACGTCGGACTCCGGCAGCAAAACTTCTTCCTTCTCTGCTACTGGGATGGCAGTGGCCTCAAAGCTGATGGGGTCTGGAAGCATCTGGTCCCTGGGGCAAGCCATCTTGGCCGTCTCCGAATCCATCGTCTCCTCCTCCTCTTCTTCTCCGGCGCTGTTCTCACGGTCCTCGTGCGGGCGCTGGCACGCACCGTCCTTTCGGCACACAAACAGGCCATCCTCGCTGTTCAGGAGCTGGGTCTGCAGGAAGCTGAAGCAGGAGTCCTCCAGGTTGTGCATGCGCAGGAACTCGGCACAGCGGATGACCTCGCGGATGTTTTCTCTGCTGAGTAACAGCTTGGCGGTGTAGGCGAACTGCAGCAGCGGCCCAAACCCCCTGGCCGTGACCTGCAAAACAAACAGGGGAATTGCCGACCGTTACCATCAGCACTGCTATTGTCCCGAATCCCTCAGCTGAAGCAAGATAACCAGACAGCGCTAATGTCCCAGGATAAAGACTGCAAAGGAGCAATTAATCTCGTCCTGGGTCAGCAGTGATTCTGCTTCCAGTAATTAGGGCCTGTCTCGTGCATGCCAGTGCTCTACTCATCACGACAAACAGAATTGAAAATCATCAGGGTCAAGTGGCTAAACAAGATGACAGTGGGTTCAGTGTTTACACTAATGAAATATCCTGGCAAAAATGCACGGTAACAATGGGAAGCCTATTAATTTCCCTCCCCATCCATCCTGTTGAGAGCCACTGTACGTCAGGAGTGCTCTGATACTTCTCACAGCTCACTCGAGCCAAAGAAAGCATTATAGTTTTCTCGTCAACTGCAGAACTAGCAATATGGCCCTGTTAGAAACCGGAAAGTCCACGGGGTTTTGAAAATAGTTTTTCCCTCACAAAGTTAAAAAGAGACCTTGAAAGCAACTCCTGTTTTTTGCTCATTCATCATGGTTGCTAGTTGAGATGTTCCAGTCATCACGTCATATCCCATCTTACAATGATACTAGAGATGACAGTCCAAAGCAGCGTTCTCAAAAAGAAATTAACTCCTGGCCCCTAAAAAGGGTGGAGGGTGGTTAGAGCTAAACAAGCCGGCTGTCATTTAAATGGCTGAAGTTGTTGAATGGCACAGGACATGGGCAACTCCTTCCCTAATTATAAGCAGCAGCTTTGCCACGCAGCTGTCTTCTTTCCTGGTAAATCTTCAGGGGCTGAGCCTACTGTCATGTGCCGCTTGTCCATTACACATTTTCCGCAGATTGGAAACGTGCTATTTATGCACAGCTTGTGTACACGCGCATGCCTGCACGCACACACACGCTGAATGACTTAGACCATTAGAAATATGTTGCCCAAGGCCAGTTGTTCTTTCGAATGAAAATGGATTAAACTTGCCGGTGTTCAGGGCAGCCTTCCTTACCCTATACACAAAACCCACGCATCCTCTACGTTCTTGCAAGCACTGCTGACCCTATAAGGAAGGGAGGGGAGGCAGGTCCATGAATCATGTGTACAAAACAAATGAAAGCAGAGGTCATGGGGTCCTTGCTGGAAGCTACAGTAGCAGTGACTAAAAAATATCTGCTAGGGGAATAAGTGCAGAGCGAGACGAACCCGCAGGCTTTGGAGCCGACTGCCACGTGGATTGAATTCAGGACAGCACGCAGAGCCCAAACTCTTGTGAGGACCTATATCTGCTGTTCAAGATTCAACGCAGACATCAACTCTTCTGGGAGCCCTCTGCAAACTGCTTAGAGAGCGAATGACACCATCCTCTCAGCCCCCATATGCCTTCCCCAAGGGCAGTGCTCATTTTATATCACTGCATTCTAAGGGAATGCCTAGTAAGGGAAATTTCTTAGATACATAGCTGAATGGAATTTTAATTGTTAATATTTTTGAAGTACTTTAAATACAATTCAAAAAAAAATTCTCCATCAGATACTGAGTCCTGAGATGTTTGGTTTAAAAAAAAAAACCCACAACAAGAACCCATGACTGCAAGACCCACATTGTAGTTCTACAAGGGCAATCATTGCCATCTCCCTTTTATTGTACTTAATTGTGTCAGTTTCTACCAGTAGACAGCAAAGCTTCTTCAGATGAGGGATTGTTTCACTTCTCTTTGTAACCCTGCACCTAAGGAGGGTCTCTAAACATCTGATAAAAGCTTGTATATTACTGAATATGTCTGAAGTCTAACTGTGTCCCTAACATACAACTATAGTGTCCAGAAGGTGACAACACACTCTGCTCAGTGAGTGCTGTCTCAAATTACTTTTGGAGCAAGGCACTGTGTAAACCAACAAACTATACCAATTAATCAATGGCAGGCAGGGGTGCTTATCTGTCACGTCCCCTAGCACCTATATTGAAAGGGAGTTCACCTGACCTACACTTTCGTTTTACTAAGCTGACATGGCAATAGATTCAGCAAATGTCTTTTTAATGCAGTTTTCTCCCAGGAACCTATAAAAGGGAGTGTAAGGTAAGGAAGTGCATATTGATAAGTAACCAAAGAAGGTTGAGGACAATGTCACAGGACCCATTTCTTCATTGTAGCATGGCTCCACCACAAAGAGAAAATGGCAGAATCGAGGCAGAGCTGACCCCTCCAGCAGTAAGCATCTTCTGCTCCGCTCCTAGGCAATCTGCCAATTGTAGAGTGGATAATACACATCTTGAGTTTTTGTTGTTGTTTTTTTGTTTTTTTGCGGTACACGGGCCTCTCACTGTTGTGGCCTCTCCCGTTGCGGAGCACAGGCTCCGGACGCGCAGGCTCAGCGGCCATGGCTCACGGGCCCAGCCACTCCGTGGCATGTGGGATCTTCCTGGACCAGGGCACGAACCCGTGTCCCCTGCATCGGCAGGCGGACTCTCAACCACTGCGCCACCAGGGAAGTCCCACATCTTGAGTTTTGGTAGATGCGCTCGTTATACGGGAAATCGGGGAAAGTCATCTTGATGCTATTTATGTTTTTTTTTATACACTCCTCCTCATACTCTCATCCCCATTTCTTTTTTATTTTGATGCGGTCTCAGTAAGCTGTACCACTATCCCCCGCTATGGCTGCTTTTAAAGAAAATTGCTAAAGAAGCTAAGGGACACTCTTGAGGATCACTAGAGCAGTCCTGGGCACCACCACCTGCCTCATGGCAGCAAGGAGCTGCAGAAAGCTTCTCCGCTCAGGGCCAAGCTAATACTTAAATGTATGAGTGGGTCCAAGGATGCCAATAAGCACAGTCTCCACATCCCAAATCAGTTCATTGATCCTCTGGGGGCTCAGGAGACATGATGAGCTTGAAATGATCGTCACATGGTCATGAACGAGTCATGAATAAAAACAGGGTCGTAAAATGTCATTCAATCCCAGGTCAGAGAAAACGGTGTCCTCACCATGGAATTTCAAGAGTCCATAATTAGCTCTTCCCTCCTGCGAGTTTAAACCATGCTTCACCATATTTAATTCTGCTAAATTTTGCTCAGCTTCTGCACGCAGGGCTTTGTCTAGAGAGTCAGTTACTATTCACCAAGCTCCTGCTGGCGCCCAGCACCGTGCTAGCTGGTTCTCCTAACGCACTGGAAGGCAGGCACGATTGCCGCTGTTTTGTAGACAAGGAAACTGAGAAGCAAGGAGGTGAAGGAATGCATCCAAGGTCCTAGAGCTAGTGAGTACAGAGTTGGGATTTCAACCTAAGTGCTATGGAAAATGGTTAAGTACAAGACTCAGCCTTGTGCTCAAGAAACCTACAATTTAGCTTTGAAGAGGAGATAAGAACAATAAGTTAATTTTCAGGAACCACGTAAATCAACAATGGAAAGGCAAGATGACGTGATCAGTTGTCAACTAAGAAATCCTGACCAGTTCAGGAGAAGAGGAGACTGCTGAGGTCTGTGGGATCCCTTGAAGCAGGGACTTGTAAGCAGGACACCTGGAGTGTACTGAATTGCCCCCGACTGGGTCCGATCGGGGTCAAGGGTTGCTTTGATACAATGGGTACGTTCTGAACTGCCACTACTGTCCCTTCCAGGAACCCATCTCTGGTGCATTTCAGCCCAGTCACAATAGCTCCAAATACACAAAACAGAAAGTGGGTGCCCATCACACATGCAGGCCAGCGTTAAAATAGGCAGTGGCTTTCTAAATGTTGGTTTAGCCTCCATCTTGAGTAGCTTGCACTGTCTTTCCATTTTGAGGAATCATTTAAGCTCACGTACTCGGAAAGCAAATATCCAGGTACCGGCGTGAACCTGCATGTTTATGAAACTGGGTCCACGAGCCTGCATGGTTATTTACTTTCTGTTTGTAACAAGTAAGGCTCTGATAATGGGAAAAATAAGAGGGGGTAGGAGATGGAGAATCACCCACAAAACTAATGACCCATAACAATGTTATTTAAGAAGGTAATGATCGGGGCTTCCCTGGTGGTGCAGTGGTTGAGAATCTGCCTGCCGATGCAGGGGACACGGGTTCGAGCCCTGGTCTGGGAGGATCCCACATGCCGCGGAGCAACTGGGCCCGTGAGCCACAACTACTGAGCCTGCGCGTCTGGAGCCTGTGCTCTGCAACAAGAGAGGCCGCGATAGTGAGAGGCCCGCGCACCGCGATGAAGAGTGGCCCCCGCTTGCCACAACTAGAGAAAGCCCTTGCACAGAAACGAAGACCCAACACAGCAAAAATAAAAATAATAATAATAAAAAAAAGGTAATGATCATCAAGTTACAGTGGAATGAAGTGATGAGAAATAGCAAGCCAGTCCCAGCTCACTGGTATTAATGGAGCTGTGTTCCACTGCTCTCAGGGAAGCAGACATACCTAGGCTAAAAATCACCGGTCAGGAATGGCCTAAAGGAATGATAAACAAATGCAAAATACAGTATTAGGGGCACCTGGGATAATAGTCTTGCATTTTGAATGGAATCTTTTGGTTGAATCATTCTGAAGAGTGTTTTTTTCATCACATTATGGTTCCATAATGTGCAATATACATTGTGCTACAGATGAGACTGGCTCATGTACTGGGCAGAATGGAGGGTGCCCTGGGGGACTAAGACCCGTGAGAGGTCAGGAAGTAATCCCGCCTCGCTCTCTGGCTGCTCCCAAGGAGGCGGTGACCTCATCCAGCATTTGGCACACACAAGGCGAGTGGCTCTGACCTTTGGGTCTAGGGCCTGAAAGAAACAAGGCCAGACTCGTGCACTGTGGTGTGAGTCCACATGCCACTCATGGGTTGAAAATCTGACCCACTGAAGCTATGACCCTCCACCCTTTGTTCCCTTGGGTTCTGATGTATCATCTCTCTGCTGTGGAAGAAAGGAAGATGAAATGATGAAAACGTAGCTGGCAGAGGGCACGCTTGGGTGCTGTTTGCAGAGCCGGGGAGCTCACTCCCT